GGGAGTGAGGGACATTAGCAGGGGCCAGGGGAGGCCTGTGGTGAACCTTTAATTTTTATCCCAGATTCTGGGGGTTTTTATCAGAGAATTTTGTGATTTTGTTTGTTTTGTTTTTATCGGGGAAAACCAGAATCCCTGCTTATCAGACTGGATTGTGTGACTAGTTAAATTCACAAGGGAAATCGTACTTGCCTCCTGACATGTATATTTATTTAGCTTGCTATACCTGCAACAAGGAAATATCAGGAGAAGGCAACAAGCAGGATTTGAAGTTGCATCTTTTAATTAAGATTCTCTTTCCTCCTTGTCTTGCAGACCCGTGGATCAATTCCTTTCTTCTGGTCACAGAGACCAAACCTCAAGTATAAACCAAAGCCACAGATCAGTAAAACAGTAAATCATGTATGTGACTCTTCAACTGTATGAAGCTTTAATGTATCCCAGGGCTATGTAGAAAATGGCGACAAATTTAAATCGCTCATTTCTGCATATGTGCATTATGCTATTTTAGTTGAAATTGGTATCTAAATTGTGATTGGTAGCAAGAGACTTGGTATTGCAGTATGTCAATGTATTGGCCTTTTTTACTTTCAGACTCCAGTTCAGAGCCTGAATGTGCTCAAGAGTACTAGCATAGTAATTTCATCTGGCTTCTCACTTTTTGTGTACAGTTGGATACATAGTTCAGTGCTCTCTACCACATTTAGCCTGTTCAAGAAAAAGGTCTGTATTTTACTATGACTGATACACTTGTGCTTCCATTAAGATTCCAGTGTCACTTTTCTCTTCCAGATGGATGGTTTCCAAAGACATTTTGACTCGCAGATAATAAGCTATGGAAAACAAATGATCGTTAACTTGGTATGCCTTTTTTCATTGCACCATTTAATTAAATTGTTATTTTTTTTTCTCTCCTTGAACAAATATGATTACTATTGCCATTTTAACTTTTCACAGGTTAACCAGAAGGGCTCAGAGAAACCTCTTGAACAAACATTTTCAAAAATGGTAAACAGCATGGGAAATGGAATGGTCAGGTACATGTAAACAGAAATTGTATATGGATATACATACATCTTAAAAGCCCTAATAAAATCAGGAAGAACAAGAGTTATAGTAACGGTATCATATGGATCATAAAAGTTCTGCAGAATTCTTGTGTCCCTGTAGAGGAGACCAGAGTCATTAAACAACAGGGAAGAAATATGTTTCTAGTAGAAATTAGAAGCATTGTAAACTGTCAGAAAGTATGATCTAGTAAATGGAGGACACACTAAATGACAGACACCAAAAGTAGTTAAACTTATAGCCTGGGTAGAGTAAATGGGCTAAAGGAGAGTGGATATTAAGAGATGAGACTTAGCAATAAATGCCCATGCTCAAAATTAATTTTGAGAGTGTATACACAACAAAAATATGCTCATGTCTAACTTAAAATGATCTTGGTAATCTTCCCTTGCTTTCTTTTTAACCCCAACTTTGAGTGTAGCGGGCGTGTTGTTATAGTAACTGCCATGAATCCATAGCATCTCCCCACAACACCGATCTTGCCTAAGGGATTTTGGCATACCAGTATTGGCAAAGATGTCCATGAGCATAAATGTGGAATTCTTGTTTTAAGTTCTGTAGAAGCTGTTCATGTGTATTTTGGGGGATAAAACAAAGCTAGCAATGTGGTTAGCTTTATTTGTGTAGTATTTATCTGCCTTTAAAGAGAATTATTAGTTGTTTCTTCATTTAGTTAATTCAGAAGGCTGTAATGGAGTTGCATATCACTCCCATTCTGCCATGCCTTCTAGCTTCTTCTGTGTCCTAAAGAGAATGCATTGTGTGCCATAGATGTTCCTATATCGCAAGGGTGGGTAATTGATTTGGACTGGAGTGCCATTTAAGGAGTTTTGGTGAACTCCTCTGCAGGAGCCAGCAGGCTGGATAGGATCAGTTGGCAAGCCAGATATGGCCCGTGGGCTGTATTTTGCCCACTCCTGATATATCATCGTGTTGAAATACAAGGGGGTAAACACTTTTTTTTTTAAGACCACACTTTGGGGACAGATTTTTATTCTATTTTTTGGGGTTAGTATTTGTTTATTTCAAAACTAAGTAGACTGGAATTTTTCTTGTGCGCTTTTCTGCTGCAAATAGAAAATCCAATCCAATTTTGTAGTAATCCAAGTGTAAAATCCCATAGCTTCTGTTTTTTTTTTAAGATGACAACATTGGACATTCAAATAGCTGAGCATTTTTTAAGCCTGGGCACTTGAATCAGTTTGTGGCATTTTATCTGCAATCTTAAATCGTTCACAATTCATCTTCCCAACCTACACAAACAGTCATTCCTCCTACACATTGTCTTGTAAGTCTGGCAGGTTTTTTCATTTGGACTATAAAGCACTTCTGGATGGGGACCATATCTTAGCTGAAAATTTATCAAGCATGTTCACGTTGTATGAAGAATACTCTACATGCAGTGACTCCTAAATCACTCCTTTCTACCTACAAGCAATAATTTATTAACAATTTAAAATAGTTTGTATCAAGTAATTGCACTGATCAGATGCGTCTTTGCTATGCAGAATGTCCAAGGCTCAGTTTCTGTTCTAGGTCTCTAGAGCCTGGTCTAGCAAAGTGTGTGGGTGCATTACCATGGTAATGTACTCAAGATCTGGAGGGAAGAGGTGAGAAATGTTTTACCTGCATTGTTTTTGTCAGAGGTGCACTGAATGAAGTTACTTGGGAAAATGGCAGAGGGAAAGATTCTTCAAAACTTCAGATGAGCGGTTGGATTGCTTTCTAGCACACTTCTGGGAAAATAAGTAGCAAAGTAATTTTAAATTTGCTGAACATATAGCTTCCTTGGTGTACTTCCAGACTGGTAATCTAAAAGTGTAGAAGCTTGTATCCTCAAGATGTACATAGTGATGCTTCAGAAGAGTATAAAAGGCCAGAAAATGCACCCGCTAATACTTTACGGAACCCTGTCTTATTTTTAGTTACTGAATATGGATATATAGAAAAAGGAGGTCTCCTTAAGAATTTACTAACATCAGACATTAGCTGGAATTTAAAGCTGTATTGTACCAAATTAGATTTATATTTTCTGTGACTTTCTTTTGAATAGATATGTAGCATTTGACTTCCATAAAGAATGCAGTCGAATGAGGTGGGATCGGCTCCAGATTTTGTTGAATCAACTAACAGAACAACAAGACGAGTTCAGGTAGGACTGTCAGGCATCCAGCAGTTCTTTAGAATAGTTCTGCTGTATTAACAAAGTTGACTGGTATTTTTTTGTGTGTGTAGGAAGCATACTGGCCTACACCTCAGATGTGTTTAAGTAAATATTTTTAAAGGTTGATGCCTTCAAATCTGTGTAGTCTCTTGTGCTGAGAAGCAAACTGAAAGCTTATGTGGTTGAAAATGCTTCATAGTTTGAGGTACCTCTGAGTAATTGTAGGCAGCTGAGCAGTGTGGGGAAAACTTAATTTGTACTTTTTGGTGAAGGGATTGACTGCTAGGCCTATACCTTGGCTTCTAAATTATATGTAATTTAACAAGGGGTATTTCTTTTTTCAGTATAGAATTTTCAGACCCACCATTTATTTATTGTCATATGCGATCAAACAGTAACCTTCTGTTTTTGTTTAGCCTTTACAAAAGCTAGATGGCAGCAAATGTTTAACTTCATTCAATCATTCCTTTGACAGGGTTCACTTCAGATATGTATTTTCATGTTCTGTATGATTAGCAGTTGCTTAAAGCATTTAGTCTCTAGTTTGCACTACTTCTCCTTAGTCTATGAAGGCAAAATGATTTACTGTGTGGTTCTGCATCTTCAGAGACCTAAAATGCAGACCATGAACTCCAAGCGTTTTGAGAGCTATATACCATATACAGATACTGGCTCTGCAGTATGAGGACAGCCCACTGAAATGTTTGTCTGTTTCCTTTATAACTATAAAACCGTTTACTTAATCTAACAAAGTCACAGCAGTGAGGACTGCAGTCAGATTGCCAAGAATGGTCACTTATTGGCTATGCTGCATATTCAGTGCCTCTGCAAGATGACAAGGAAACGGATATTGAGTTTTAAGTTTAACCACAGCAGTGAAGAACTTAGTATGGAAAGAAGATTGTTTTGGATTACTGAAAACACCATATAAAAAGTGTTTTGTTGTAAAATGGTGCAAGGAGGACCCAGGCATCTACTGTATGCATTTTGATGTGCACATTTTAACATAGTGTACACCTCTAGTTATTTTCTAGTTGATTCTGATGGTAAAGTGGTGACTCAGCAAGAAGGTATATTTCGGAGTAATTGCATGGACTGCCTAGACCGGACAAATGTGATTCAGAGCCTTCTAGCACGCCGCTCTCTCCAAGCCCAACTGCAGGTAAAGATTTTTTCCCTACTATTTCTAATTAAGGAGCAAGGTGTGGATGGAGAGGGGCTGTTATGTCTTCCATCTGGGATCAAATATGCTTGCTTTTTTGTAGTAAGTGTGTGTGCAACAGTTGTTCATTAAGTATTAACAACTTGAAATTTGAAATGTTTAGGTCTTAGTTGGGAGAGAGAGCTCTTTCGTGTGTAAACGTAACAGCTGTTTTTCTCTAATGAAATCCTATGGATGTTTTTGTTCTAGAGGTTAGGTGTTTTGCACGTTGGACAGAGAATTGAAGAACAAGCAGAATTTGAAAAAATTTACAAAAATGGTATGTTAGGACTGAGTTAAATGCCTATTTTGAAGTAAAGTAACATAAAGTAAAAATAGTAGTAATAATGTTTCTCTCTTCACAGCTTGGGCTGATAATGCAAATGCTTGTGCCAAACAATATGCTGGAACTGGTGCCTTAAAGACAGACTACACAAGGCAAGTCAGAGGCAGCATTTTGGGTTTGAGAACAAGACATATAATATAATAACTTTTCATACTGATTTCAGTTTTCTAGGCATACGCTAGTTGCAAACCTGTCCTAAAAGTGTCTGGTAGAAAGCTAATTCTTTGTCTCCATTAAAAAAAAACCACACCAGACAATAAAGCCAACATACTTAACAATTTATTTGCCTCCATCTTCCTAAGCAGGAACCAGAACAGCCACCCCCCAGCTGGGCCCCACTCAGGCCCCAGGGGAGGCACATCTAGGCCAAGAGTTAGTGAGGAACTAGCTAGGGAGCTTCTGGAGGGATTGGACGTATTCAAGTCAGCGGGGCTGGATGATCTCCACCCTAGAGTACCAAAGGAATTGGCTGAGGTCATTGCAGGACCCCTGGCACGGCTTTACGAGTACTCATGGTGCTCTGGTGTGGTGCCAGAGGACTGGAAGAGGGCCAGCGTGGTTCCCATCCTCAAAAAGGGGAAGAAGGAGGACCTGGGAAACTATAGGACATTTAGTCTTACTTTGATCCTAGGCAAGCTGTTCGAGAAAATTATGCTGGCACACATCCATGGGGGGGCCAGCAGGGGTTTTCATGCTTAGGGGCAACCAACATGGGTTCATCAGTGGCAGGTCCTGTCAGACCAACCTGGTGGCCTTCTATGATCAGATCACCAAATCATTAGATGCAGGGGTAGCAGTGGACATAGTCTTCCTGGACTTTTGGAAGGCCTTCGACACTGTCTCTCACCCTGTTCTCATTAAGAAACTGGGGGACTGTGG